TACGCCACGCTCGGAATCAGATCCGCCGTGGAAATCAAGTAACTCTTTTTCCTTCTTTTTTTCTTTTCTTTTCTCGTCACCTCTCCCGCGTCCATTGTCTCGCGTTTCCGCGATCAGTCGCCGTCACTGTCGCGTGTCCGGCCACTATTCCGGATTAAAAGAGGTGCCTCTTAATGATATACCGATCGCGGTCGACTCGCTGCCAAATCAGCTTCGACCCGGCTAATTGCCGTATTTACGGGATCGCCCGGACCGCGGCGCAACGGCGGATTCAAAGCGTTTCGATCGTTGCCGCGAGTTGATCGATTGATCCTCGCGGAAACGTAAATCGGCCGCTACCGTCTTCGCGCTGTAATTTAATTTATGGTCGCGCGAGTATTTGCAGCGCGGGCGATTAAGCGTTCGCCGACTGACACACTCGCGATCGCCAGATTATCGACTCTTGTCGGTCACCGAGCCCGGAGGAGATTCGCGGGGAACGGGCGAATTTATTTACATGTGTTTCAGACCGAAGATCGGCCGCTTCGCAAACGGAAACTCGCCGTGGCGGGGAACAATGTTGCACAAGCGAGACTTGTCGCGACTGCGAGACTTTTGCGAAAATATCGGCGTTCTATTTTCTAGCGGCGATCGTCCGATTTGAATTTTAATGAGGCGAAGGCAAAAAAGTAGTGTTCAAGGTTTTGTACGAATTTCTGTTCTCGCGAACGATTTTATAGGAATCGGAACAAGAGATAAATTCACTTTATCAACTCCGTAATTTTTTCTTTTTTGTAATAAGGATAAAATATGTCCACTGTTCGTTTCTACCGATGCGGATGCTAGCTTGTATTTTAAAGGGCCGTGCACGGCATAAATCTTTATTCGGAGTTCATCGTGACGAATCGAATAGTAACGTGTTCAAATCAGAGTCGGGCGAAATTTTATTCGGATGACGAGACTTGAGAGACTAATGAACAAACTTGTATGTAATTAAATTATTTGATTAAGAATTGAATGAGAATTAATTCGAGTAATAATTCATTCGAATAAGAATTCATTCGAGTAATAATTCATTCGAATAAGAATTCATTCGAGTAAAGAATTATTCGAATAAGAATTTAATCATACAAAGAATTATTCGAATAAGAATTTAATCATACAAAGAATTATTCGAATAAGGTATTATTTGAGTAAAGAATTGTTCGAATAAGAATTCATTCGAGTAAGGAATTATTTGAATAAGAGAGAGAAGTTTTTTATTCAAACAAANATAATTCGAATAGGAATTCATTCGTATAAAGAATTATTCGAACAAGAATTCATTCGTATAAAGAATTATTCGAATAAGAATTCATTCGAATAAGGAATTCATTCGAATAAGAATTCATTTGAATAAGAATTCATTCGAATAAGAATTCATTTGAATAAAGAATTCATTCGTATAAAGAATTATTCGAATAAGAATAATTCGAATAGGAATTCATTCGTATAAAGAATTATTCGAACAAGAATTCATTCGTATAAAGAATTATTCGAATAAGAATTCATTCGAATAAGAATTCGTTCGAATAAAGAATTATTCGAGTAATTATTCGAATAAAGAACTATTCGAATAAATACATAGAATAATTTACGAAGAACAACGAATAATCGTTGTTCGAATAAGATATTCGGCTGCAAAGTATTGATTCGAATAATTCTTTCAGATAAATACTTACTCGAAACAATTCAAACAACATCCAACTCTGATTAAAACACACGTTTCTTCCCTCGACGACCAAAAATAAAATCAGCAATGGATTAAAATCGAAATACAGCTCCAACATTGTCAATGTTCGAAATCAAATTAGAGAGAACCACGATATCCCGGTAGTTTAAAGAAAACCGCGAGAAGCGTACGATTAATTAAGCAACCATCTTCCGCGAGGCAACAATATTCTCCGTTCCCGTTGCGAAGCCGGCCAGCGCCACGTCCCCCCGGCAATCTACCTGCAATTTTCATAAAACGTTACCACAAACGGACGGCCTGGTTTTCACCTATTTCTCAACGACGCTAGAAAAAGAATCCATTAATGTTGCACCCTACTTAAGAATCTCCGCGGCTGTGCGCTACTTAAAAATCTTCCTCCGTGCCGCGAGCAGAGTCGGACAAATCGCAGTCGAGCTATCCGGGAACGTGTTCCAGAAGGGCCGGGATGGCGGCCGGGGCCACGGTTCCTCGAAAATTGATAAGAAACACGGGCTACGTACTATCACAGACGAGAACCGCATCCTGAGCCCGGTTCGAATCTGACTGAATGGCCGCACGGACGCTTCGTGACCGCTCACGAGAACCGTAAAACTTCGCGTTTAACCCGCGACCAGCCGCACGGAATCGTGAAATTCAATTAGCTGATTTTCAGGGAATTATTTCCATCGATTCGCGATTGCCGCAGAAGTTCGGGATTATTATTTTAGCCGGATTTTGATGGGCGATCTTCCGCCATGTTGGACGTTCGCCGCGCTTCAATACGAATTACAGTAATGCACTAAGTGCACAGAATTATGGAATCGGATATACACGGGATTTCGAGCAGCCTTGATTAATTATCGACTCAACATTTCGTTGATTATATTGTTGCAGAAAGCGTTGAATTCTACGTGCTAAATTTTCTCGTGTCGCGTGATTTTCTTTCGTCGGTCGAAGAGTTTTATATGACTTTTGATAGACAAATTTACGAGGTTTGAGAATTTTTAATATATCAGATAATACTTTTACGTAAAGTATAATGAGATTTGTTAAGGAAAAGCTTCTGTTCTTCGTGTGACTCATGATAGTTTCGAGCTTAGTGTCGCACTGATTCCATGCGACCAGTTCAAAGTTGATCCTTTGTTATACGATTTCGTTTGACGGTCAGTCGATTGGTGGCGCGTTGTTGTTAATGATATGCTAGACGGTTAATTATCGACCACAGAACGTGCTAGTTTGTTTAAAAGCAGATTCGAACCTTTTCTGAGTGCTCAGGCCGGAAGAAGACTAATTATCTGCTTTCTAGGGAACACGTAATGTATTTTGTCGGGATTCGAGTGCCATTCTCGCGATATTTGAACAGTATACCACCCCCTGGCAGAAAGTGATCGATGAGCACCGTTACAACGACCCCCATAGAACGATATTAGTACGATATTACATATATATATATATATATTAAACAAAAAGTGGCGTCCTGCACAATGCATTAAAGAAATAAGCAAGATAATTCTGACATCGACAATACTTAAAAGAAATATACAGAAATAAATAATTACCAAAAGTCGTACATTATAAATGTCGTTAAAAGTCGTAAATTAAAGTTTACACTAGCTTTTAAAAATCAGCATTTTTTAAATATCATCAATTAGTTAGCTGTTGCAATCTTTTTGAAAAGCGTGTCCCAGTCATTGCAATTATACTCTGTACGCTTGATTTTCTTGATATCTCGTTTAAATACAACGCTATCGCGAAATTTATAACGTAATAAAGAAAATCAAAGTTGAAAATATCACTTCTCAACCGGTCGGCCGCTCTGGACGAGTCCACTCGTCGCGAAGAAATGGCAACAATTTCTGTGATAGCGAGCACACTCGTCAGAAATGGCTAACTTAGGGTAACGAAATAGGTTAACGAAATATTCCGACAAGAGATTCATTTCCGCGAAAGAAACTTGCCGAACTCCGCGAGCACTTCCTGCCAGTGATGGGCGAGACGAAACCGTGGTCGCCTCCCAAAAAGTCCCATCGTCGAATACCTCGGCGCAAGTATTAAACAAACTACGGTAAATTCTCCCTAATCGACGCTCGGCTTGGACACGAAAATGGACAATTTGGGAAGAGGAGGTACGATTAACACGTTCCGTGCCACGTGTACCATCGATGGTACACGCTTGCATGTTTACTTAGTGAACTGAACAAATTGTTTACAAGAAATTTAGAACCGAAGAATCAATTTCCACCGCAAGAATGGAAGTTGATAAGTTTTTGTTACGTTGTTATGTGTACGAGAATTAATAATTGCACGTAATACATCAAGTTTTAGTAAAATATCAAAGTGTGAAGATTCGAGTAAAAAAAGCTCGGCACGGAACGTGTTAATCGAGCAGTAATCTTGCCGCATTCGTTTTCATACTGTTCGACAATCGGCAATCATAAAAACGAGCCGCGAGTCGCGAACAATCGCGTCGCCTCTCCCCGAATTGTCCACTTCCGCGTCCAAGCTGAGCGTCAATTCGGGAGAATTCGCCCGTATTCGGCGCGGCCGACGTGCAATTTAACGAATAACCGTCGGGAAACGAGACGTCGCGTCGGCATCGATGCACCGTCGACTCGGTAGCCGGTAATTTCTCGGATCGTTCGGAATCCCGACCGGCAAGAATCCTCGTGCCGCGTGTCCCTCGAACGTCGCCGGAAGTCGTCGCATTCGGCGGGGAAGAATCTTCGGGGACGCGCGTGAAATTTTCCGGAACGCGGCCCTGATCGCCGCGCGCGACCCGCTCGCCGGAAACCGAAGAGGCCGCCGACGGAAACGATCGGTCGTTTTCGTTTCGAACGGAACGTTTCGAACGCGAGAACCGAAAACCGCGACGGCCGGCGGCCGGGAAAAAGAACGCGGCGGAACGGGATGGAGGAAGGGGGAGGCAGCCGTCGAAGACAAAGAGGAGAGAACCGGGGTGGTGGACAAAGTCGGGGCGGCCGGAACGAATGGCGAAACGCTTTAAATCGTTGCCGTTCCGAGGATCCCCGGAACGGCTCGGGGTCCATCGATACTCTAAACTCGCCGAGATAGGTCCCAGATCTGGCACGAGACGACCCTGAATTATTTGTTAGGCATTTAAGCTATATACAGACGGGTGTGTTATCCTTAAAGGAGATCGATATGTCTCGTTGGTGGCGTTGGTACAGGAATCCCCCGAACTTCGGATTTTTGGGAGGG